TCAAACATAACTCTTAACAACTTCTAAACTCCAGTTCGGTGATTAAAAATGCATTTAAAATACCAGTTTAATCAATTCTGATTTTATTCAGTCACTTACTGCAGGTGGAAGCGCGTAAAATACGGTACAGCTGTTTTCTATTGTTCACTAACCGATGTGACGACTCCTGTTTAACCATTTATCAATGCAAATTGTCATGTAACTCGGCAAAGAACGTCCGGTAAAAACTTAATTTAAGATAATTACTCAACGGTTTATCTTTGAGCCATATACAAGTCAGAAACTGAATTTTTTAATGTAAGACAATTGAATGTTAACAATATAGGCAATTAAGGCGAAAGTTGTCAACTGAAGGTTTGTGATAACTAAAAGGTTGAGACTAAAGATCTGATTCTAACTTTAACACCTATACCTTCTGTGATATAATTGAGGTCGCTAATTTAGGATCGTCTTAAAGGGTTTCGTTTCTTTGTCTTACTTGGTGGGACGTTTCTGATTCTTGCGAATCCTACCAAGGTTATGTTCCTTTACTTTTTAACTTCCCATAAGATTCCCACTAGAAAATGACATTTGGTTTACTTCGTATACGCTTTTTGATCACATAAATTCATTATTCTTTGTAACTAGTAGTCTTCAGAAATAAATAGTTGCTCTTAGTCAGACGTGAGAAATACTACTTGGATTCAAATTGGCTCGACAAGATGTTTCTGCTAAAGTTTGTGCTGTTCTCAAGAAATTAATATCTAGTGGACGTGCAGAAAATGTCGGTTCAATTTTCCGAAATTATTTTATTATTTATTTATTTGAACACATAAATATTGGTACGAGAGAGCGCCAATATATATGCGCCACACAAAACAATGAAGATTCGAAGAAAGATAGAAAAACAAACTAAGGAGCACAAAAGAAAAAGAGAGCGATAACGAAGAGATTGGCGTAAGGTAATGTGCTAGTAATCAGGGAACGGAAAGGTACAATCAGAAGAAATCTTTCAAGTAAGGGAGACAACCACTTTTTATGAAGAAAGTAATAGAAGGTTACAGCAGGATCGCCACTGACTTCTATTCTGAGCCATATGTGATAACGTCTCTAGCCACTGTGTAGCACCATCTCTCACACCCCAACCAGGGAGTCGTGAAGGACTGACAGAAGCCAGTCCTTTGCAGCTTTCTTTCATCCCACGACACTATGTCATATACTGACCACCTCCGCTTTTTCCAACCAGTCCCAGAGTCGGCAAATAATGCACGACGTGGAATTCTCTGGGACGACATTCGTAGAACATGTCCAAGCCACCGAAGTCGGTGTTTCAAGATGGTGACACCAATTGAATTATCATCTCTGTGCCCGAACACACGATGCCGAACCTCTGCATTACTAACATGGTGTTGCCACTGAATGTCAGCGATCCTTCGGAGACAGCGATGATCGAACACGGAGAGTCGTCTAACGTCCTCAACTCGGAGAGGCCAGGTTTCACAAGCATAGAGCAAAACTGCTCTCACCGACGCGTTGTAGATCCGACCTTTTACATCCAGACTAACATCACGAAAGCGCCAAAGGTGGCCCAGATTGGCATAAGCCGCTCTGGCTTTCACTATACGTGCATTGATCTCATCACTCACACCCACACCAGCACTTATGCAGCTACCCAGATACACGAACTTCTCGACTACGTCTATCTGCTCACCATCCAGGGTGAGTACAGGATTGGAATCCTGCCAGTCTTGTAGAAGTACTTTGCACTTCGAAGGTGCAAAGCACATACCGTACCTACGGACACTGATTGCCAACTGATTAAGTGCGGATTGCATGCCTTGGGCATTATCGCACATTAAGACAATATCGTCCGCATACTCAAGGTCGAGAAGTCTTTCTCCAGGCAACAGATCCACACCACCACTACTTACATTCATCAGAGCTGTTTCCAGAATGTCATCGATGGTAAAGTTGAAGAGGAATGGTAAGATTGGGCAACCCTGCCTAACCCCACTACTCGAATGGAACAATGGAGAGAGGTGGTTGCATGCCGTCACTCGGCCTGAGGTGTTTTTATATAGGGCTTTTAGGATGTTAATAAACTTTTCAGGCACAGCCTTCTTCAATAGACAATCCCAGAGAACAGTCCTGTCCAACGAATCGAAAGCAGCCCTGATGTCAAGAAACACTACGATTGTTGACATGTGATAAGTATGGCGATGTTCTAACATTTGGCGGAGGGTGAAGATATGATCAATACATCCTCGACCAGAACGAAACCCAGCCTGCTCCTCGCGAGTCAATCTTTCTCGGGTTTTGAACAACCTACGAAGCCAACCTACGGAAGCCAATAGCTTGAACGCAATCGGAAGTAGACTTATCCCCCGATAGTTGTTGCAGGAACGACGTGAACCCTTTTTAAAGATAGGGACAACTATCGACTCATTCCATGACGTTGGTACACTCTCTAATTCCAAAACCTTTGTAAACAACGTCGTCAATTCCTTAGTCAAAAAGTCACCACCATCTTTAAAAAGAGTCGGAGGTAAGTCATCTGGGCCAGGTGATTTGTAACGCTTCAAGAGTTGGAGTTCCTTGCGGACTTCCTCCTCGTTTGGTGGATCAGTCGTCACCGGCCATGGAGGGCAGGACAGTCTGACCGATGTTGCCGGAGCAGCAGGCCAGTTGAACTGCCCTTCGAAAAATTCTGCCCATCGTCCAAGACGTCGATGGATGTTAGTGATTGGCATCCCATCATCCTCGCAGATTGTTTCACTCACACCAGACTTCTTGCTGCCAGTGGCTCGGATGAGTTGGAAGAGCTTCCGGTAGTTACCAGATGCAGCTGCTGCTTCCAGCTCATTAGCACGCTCCGACCACCAGGCTTCTCGGTCCTTACGCAAGCTTTGCCCAATTTCCTTACGTAACATCCTTCGTTTGTGGTCAAACTCACGGTCACCCGGAGTAGACCGACGGGCTTCAATGAGTTGTAAGGAACCAGAAGAAACCCAGTGCTTATAAGCGGGACGTTTCGCAAACCCACAACTGACTGTTCCCGCCATTTTCATGGCGTCATGCAATTGCAACTAATGCTCATCTATACCTTTCGGTGGAGTGGTAGCTAGCCTAGAGGCTACCTCTGTTCGATACTTATTTGCAACAGAAGTTGCAACCAGCTTGCTAATATCAATGCTTTGATGGCGGTCACTTCGTTGTCCACTGAAAAGTAAGGCGATTTTCCGAAATAGGTTTCAGATATCTTTGTAATATAACAGCAAAAGATTTTTCAGTTCGCCATGTGATACTGGAATACGATAATACTATGATCATTAGACTGGATACTCGACCCATAAAATCACATTATACCAGACACATTTTTCCTGACTGAAAACATAAAAACCTATTATCAACCAAATAATCGTTTATTTAACAAACCACTTGAAGTCCGTATACATATGATAGCAACTTACTTACTAACTTACGCCTGTTACTCCCAATGGAGCATAGGCCGCCGACCAGCCTTCTTTTCTAGTTCCATCCAATTCTTGTTCATTATTCTTATGTGTGTCTCCATTTCTAGACGTAATGTGCTCTTTGGTCTTCCTCTTTTCCTTTGGCCTTGAGGATTCCATGTGGGGGCTTGTCTTGTGATGCAGTTGGGTGCTTTCCTCAATGTGTGTCTTGTGCACTTCCAGCGCTTCTTCCTGATTTATTCCTTCACTGGGATCTGGTTTGTTCTCTCCCATAGTAGGTTGTTGCTAATAGTGTCCGGCCAACAGATCCGAAGTACTTTACGTAAGCAACTGTTAATCAACACCTGTATCTTCTGGATGCTGGCTTTCGTAGTTCTCCAGGTTTCCGCCCCATACAGTAGAACGGTCTTGACATTTGTATTGAAAATCCTGACCTCGGTGTTTGTTGAGTGTTGTTTTCAGTTCCAGATGTTCTTCAGTTGTAAATATGCTGCTCTTGCTTTACCGATCCGCGCCTTCACATCTGCATCAGATCCCCCATGTTCACCAGTGATGCTGCCCAAATATGTAAAGGTTTTCACATCTTCCAAATCCTTTCCGTCAATTGTGATTGGATTGGTGCATGCTGTGTTGTATCAGAGAATCTTGCTATTCCGTTTGTGTATATTGAGACCTGCTGCTGCTACACTGGTCGTCTTCTCCTGCATTTGTTGTTGCGTTTGCGATAGAAGGGCCAGATCATCTGCGGAGTGTAGATCGTCCAACTGCATCCTAGATGTCCACTGTATCCCGTGCTTCTCTTTAGATGTTGATGTCTTCATAATCCATTCGATCACGATCAGGAGAAAGAGAAAGGGTGAGAGTAAGCAACCTTGCCTGACACCGGTCTTTATTTCGAACGACTTTGTCAACTGTCCTCCATGCACGATTTTGCAGTGTAATCCATCATATGAATTCTGTATGATATTGACTATCTTCCGAGGCTCGACGTAGTGTCGAAGAAGCTTCCATAATGTTGTCCTGTCCACGCTGTCAAACGCTTTTTCGTAGTCGATGAAGTTGATGTAGAGTGAGGAATTCCATTCAATTGATTGTTCCACAATGATCCGTAAAGTTGCGATTTGGTCTGTACACTATCTATCCTTACGGAATCCTGCCTGTTGGTCACGAAGTTGGGCGTCTACGCAGTCCTTCATTCTGTTTAACAATACCCTGTTGAAGACTTTTCCCGGTATTGAGAGAAGAGTGATGCCCCTGTAGTTATCACGGTTGCTGACATCGCCTTTCTTTGGTATCTTGATCAGGTGTCCTTTCGAGTCTGTTGGTACTTGTTCTTCATCCCAAATCTTTCTGATGAGAATGCGGTGTATCTTTGCAGTTACTTCTACGTCTGATTTCAATGCCTCTGCTGGAATGTTGTCTGTTCCTGCTGCTTTGCCACTCTTGATTTGTCTGATGTCCATGCTGATTTCTTCAATTGTTGGTGGGCCAACATCGATTGCGAGGTCCGTGGGTGCTGCTTCGATGCTGGGTGGGTTCAGTGGGACTGGTCGATTCAAGAGTTTTTTGAAGTATTAAACCCACCTCTTTCGCTGTTCCTCAATGTTGGTGATTACCTTGCCTTCCTTGCTTTTCACTGGTCATTCTGGTTTACGGTGATTTCCAGAGAATTTCTTTGTTATGTCATACAGTTGTCTCATATCTCCTTCTCTTGAAGCCTTTTCCGCCGTCATTGCTAAATCTTCCATATATTTACGTTTGTCGGTTTTGATGCTCCTGTTTACTTCTGTGTATTCAGCTTGTGCCTTGACTTTTTTTGCTCTTGTTCGGCTGGTATTGATTGCTGCTTTCTTGTTCCTCCTTTCTTGAATCTTATCCAGTGTATCAACAATGATCCATTCCTTGTGATGGTGTTTCTTGTGGCCCAGAACCTCATAACATGTTGAAGTGATTGCGTCTTTTATCCCTTTCCAGTTGCTATCCATAATAGTTCCTTCTCCATTAAGTAGATCATGAAAGGCCTGGAACTTATTGCTCAAAACTATCTTGAGTTTGTTGAGTTTTTAAGTATCCTGAAGAAAGGCCGTATTGAACTTTTGCGATATTTCCGCCCCGTTTTCCAGTGCTTCTTGAGTTTCAATTTCATCTTGGCGATCAGCAAGTGATGATCTGAGGCTATATCAGCTCCTCTCTTGGTTCTCACGTCCTCTATGGTCCTCCTGAACGTTTTGTTGATGCAAATATGGTCGATTTGGTTTTGCGTGGTGTGATTCGGTGAAGTCCATGTGGTTTTGTGAATGCGTTTGTGTGGGAATATAGTGCCGCCTATGATGATTTTCTTGAAGGCACATAGGTTTGCAAATCTCTCACCATTTTCATCCCTTTCTCCCAGTCTGTATCGTCCCATGATGTCTTCATATCCAGTGTTGTCCATTCCAACCTTGGCATTTAAGTCTCCCATCAGAATGGTCAGGTTCTTTGTTGGGCATTTCTCGATGGTTGGCGGAAGCCTATTGTAGAATTGATCTTTAGCGTCTTCATTGTAATCGTTGGTAGGCGCATAGCATTGGATGATGTTCATTGAAATGCCCTCTTTCTTTGTTTTGAATGAGGCTTTAATGATCCTTGGTCCATGAGATTCCCATCCTGTAAGTGCATTTTGTGCTTGTTTGGACAGCATCAGGGCAACTCCTTGTGTATATGGGGCATTTTCTTCTTCATGGCCGGAGTATAACAGAAGCTTCCCTGAAGCTAGTCGTTGTTGTCCAACTTTCGTCCAAAATGTTTCACTGATCTCAAACACTTCTAGGTTGTATCTTCTCATTGGTGCAGCAATTTTGAAGACTCTCTCAGTCTCCCACATTTTACGAGTATTCCATGTACCTAAATAAATGGTTGCTCTGGTTGTCAGAAGTGGCATCGGCCTCGTGACTTCCGAAAGAGCTTGGATTTCATGGTGTCATAACTCTTCTAAATGAAGACCTGATTCCCAGGACAGAGTTGAAATGGTTCGAATAATTTTTTCTGGTTAGTGTTGTTTAGCAAGTTAGTTTTCTATGGGATGGGGTCGCTAACCTCATGCCTAACCCTCCTTTATCCGGGCTTGGGACCGGCAGTAGCTCCCGGAGGGACTCCATGCGGAGTTATATGACAGCAAACGATGTAGTAATAGTTTTCACATACCGTCACACGGCACATCTGTTAGGTTCCATGAAGCTGTTCAAACCCTTTGGAGTGTTTTTGGTGGACAGCTTTTTGAGCATTCAGATATCAAATTATTTAAAATGTGTAGTTACATGAATACGACTAATAGTCCATACTTCTTTCAACATGCAGACTGAACTGTGGTAAACATTATATTCCGTAACAGTATCTTCGATTGGTAACCGGAAGCTTTTTCAGTTGCCACTTAAGTGAGATGAAACATTTTACTGAATAGCACAGCTAGTCAGCAGTGCTCAATAAGTTTACTCTGTACTGTAAACACTAGAAAGCGGCCTCATGAGTAGTATCCTGGGATAGAATATGCCTAGGATCGGATTGTTAACATGTGACCGGTTTCTAAATTAGGTGGTAATAAATGAATTCACAGCGTGTGCTTTAAATATATACAACCAGGTTAAACTGACGGCTGTTTGAAGCTTAAAAGTAATATCTTACCAAAGCTTTCTGGTTTTCATTCATATCTCAAAAATCAAATATCACAAACTTGCTCAGATTGCTTGCTTACTATTTATAAGTCGTATTTTTCTACTGGTTTTCAGAAATAACTCTAAATCATCTTCATGTTACGTGTGAATATCTATTGACGAATGTCGCGAAATATTGAACTTTTTCTGGCTACCCTCCGCCACGGCAAATTTACCGACATTCATCTAAAATATCTATATAATCCAGCTGCTGTGCATAGTGATACAAAAATCTTTTTTGTTTTGATTATCATACTTTTAACTATTTTGTCAAAACCTCATTTTATCCAGCAAAAAGCTATTATGGTTAAGTCGAATTACTACCTTTCAAATTGATTAGCTATATCTCATTGTTTTTCTGATTGAACATAAATTTTCGTTTGAAATTAAATCTTCATCAGGACACCTAACAGGTATGACTTGTATAGTGATAGTTTATAATAAATAAACAGTATTCTCTTATAGCCAGACATAAACGAAATTAATATTTAGTTAATGATTTAAAAACCTAACCCCAAATTCTTTATTCTTTCAGTATAATAGTCCACTTTTGTTTTCCACAAGCAGGAATTTGTTTTTCCGGTTAGTGGGTCTGTTACGTCAAAATACCCTGCCTGTCGCAGTTTTGGATGGTATCGCTCCGTCACTAAAATCAGCTGTTATGGAACAAAGACAGCAAAAATTGTGAGTTGTTTTTCCTGGAAAGCTGTCAATAAAGCTAGATCTAGTGTTAATGTTTTAGAAAGAGAATATATCACCTGTACATGTTCTTTTATCCTTAAGTTTTATGAGTAGCAGTATGTTTTCACCGTTTCAGCTACCTAGGTTAAACTTGAAAAAATATATCAAGGTTAAAAAGTGAATTAGTTAAACGAGAAAGGCTGATGGTTGATGACATTCCGACGCATATATCAAATGACTTTTTGTGTTTGCAAAGATTTATATATATATATATATATATATATATATATATATATATATATATATATATATATATATATATATATATATATATATAGTTGTAGTTATTAAGGCAGATAATCAAGAGTTAATATATTCAGAATATTTGTCATTATTGGTGTAACTTTTATTGCGGTGAATGTTGTTCCAGATGTAGAGTGTTAGTCGACTAATGAAACTAGAGTGAACGAGGCTTCGCTATTATTAATGGGTGAAATTTATCAGATGCTTAGCACTCCCTAATAGGTGAATTCCTGTATGTCCAATAATGACCAGGGTCCAAGTAATAATCTGATTTAAAGCTTCATATACCCACTGAGCTTGTTTCGTTTTTTTTAAAATGTTTTATATCATTACCATATATAGATTTCGGTTACCAATAAGATCAAAGACGTGACCTTCTACTCTGTCTCTACAGTTCGACTTACGTGGAAGTGTTCGATTTCACATTCCAACTGTCATATTCCGTTCTTATAGGAAAATTGAACAATTTAAGTCTTTAGTTTGAAAATTGAATTAAGAAGAAATTTAAAACTGGAAACTAAATGAAATAGCTCAGTTTAGGCGAATATTTAATATTCATTTTCATTTTTATTATTTATTCAAGGATAAGTTGTTTAATTAAAATTAATTTCTTCCATTTCCATTCAGTTCGTATTTTATTTTCAAGATATATATTTCGCGTATATTTTTTATCATATTCCTCACTAGAATTAACTATTGATCTGTTGAAGTCGTTATCCAGTTATAGGATTGACGATTAACAGCCACTAGAATAACTGAAATCCTTTTATAAATTATCCAGCGACATGATTTTGCAAGTTCTTGCTTTACAAACTTAATAAAATAGACAGCTGTTTATTAAAACAGTTAGTTTCCGTTGTTGTTAAGTTTTATTTGACCTAGCATTCTTGAACACTTCACTTTACTCTACTTGTTCCCATATCAAAGCACGACTTGGACAGAGACATGAACATATTCCAAAGTAGACAACAAGTTAGGTAAATGTAGCATAAAGATATCAGTGTATATACAAAGAAATTTTAATATCTTCTTACCCCCTTCATTAGCTCTGATTGTTTGTACCTCAACGTCATTTTGTCTGAAGCATACTTTAATCATGGATCTATCCTGTTAACAGTCATTTAATTTCTTCCCCATTCGTATAGGCATAGCGTTTCTAGATACTTTGAGTTGTTATATCACCGTAGTTTTCATGTCTGTTTTCTCCAAAACGTATCGATTGCCGTCATTTTCGTTCTATTCTCTTTTCCTAGGACAGGGAAGATCACAACTCAGAAATGTACGAAACCAAATCGTAGTAGAATACGGTTCTCAAAAATATCTCAAGAAGTAAGTAGTAAATGAGGATTCTAAGGTTCCAAGATAATTTAATTACTCAATAGTATGGTAATTTTATTTTCAAAGCCACTATATTAACAGTGTTGTATCATAGGGCGAAATTGATTAATTGGTGGATTTACGGAAATCTAACTAAAATAATTAAGTCACAGCATCTAAACTCTGCTTCTTCATTTGTTTGTCAGAACACTGGTATCTGAGATCGAAAAAAAAATTAAAACGTTCAAGAAAATTAGTTGAACCTTTCTAGTTTCCGGCTTGAACTGACTTAAATATAGTAAAACACATTTGCATAGTTCCTGCTATGATATGAGATGGACTAATAGGTAGCCACTGTCAGTTATATACCAAACTTTGAAGCACATTTTCGTCTAGAGTCTACTTGCGTTCCTCAGAGTTACCCTGTTTTACATTTTCTTATAACCAATATGACAAGAATGGGGGAAGTAACACAAAGAAAAAATAACTACTTTTCCACAATAATAGTCACTTTTATGGAGGTATTCTGCTATTGTGTTAAAATAAATGTTAAAAACGACGTTAAGGTCTCAATGACTGTTCAATTTAGTATTTCTTTGTTGTATCTTTTAGTGCATCCAACTACTTAATTCATTTGGCATTCCATGGGTCCAGAGTCCTGGAGAAGCGGAAGCTATGTGTGCATTCCTTAACTCAAATAAAGTAAGTTTCAAAGAAAGACTCACTGTTTTCCCATTAATAGAAAATTAGCTTTTTGGTTTGAGCACTAATCTATCAACTGTGAGTGTATTGCTTTACATTTTACTTAGAGCATATTGTAGTTTATAGATACCTTAATTAACTGTGCGCATTAGGAGTATGTGGTTATCATAACTATTTATTTTATTTATTTGAACACATAACTATTGGCACAAAGAGGCACTGAATGCGTATGCGCCACATAAGTCACGTGATTTGTGTCTGGGTTGTGATACTGCCCAGGTGCCAAAACCGGAGCAGGTGATTTTCTTAAAGTGAATACACCCGGAGCCTTCAACCTACAGGTCTGATCCACAAAGCAGTGAAGCAACGTCAAAAGATGCAGTCGTATGGTAGCTGATGTTCAACAATTGGTTCATACGCCATTTGTTCCCCCAAGATCCTGTAGCTATTTGTTCTGAATCAGGATTTTCCAACTCCTCTAGGTGGACCCGCCATACCCATCACCCCAGTTAAAGTGCCGGACATTCGCTTTTCTTCCTTTCAATTTCGTTACTTACTTACTTACGCCTGTTACTCCCAATGGAGCATAGGCCGCCGACCAGCATTCTCCAACCCATTGCTGCTGAGGCTGCTGCTACACTGGTCGTCTTCTCCTGCATTTGTTGTTGCGTTTGGGATAGAAGGGCCAGATCATCTGCGAAGTCTAGATCGTCCAACTGCATCCTAGATGTCCACTGTATCCCGTGCTTCTCTTTAGATGTTGATGTCTTCATAATCCATTCGATCACGATCAGGAGAAAGAGAAAGGGTGAGAGTAAGCAACCTTGCCTGACACCGGTCTTTATTTCGAACGACTTTGTCAACTGTCCTCCATGCACGATTTTGCAGTGTAATCCATCATATGAATTCTGTATGATATTGACTATCTTCCGAGGCTCGACGTAGTGTCGAAGAAGCTTCCATAATGTTGTCCTGTCCACGCTGTCAAACGCTTTTTCGTAGTCGATGAAGTTGATGTAGAGTGAGGAATTCCATTCAATTGATTGTTCCACAATGATCCGTAAAGTTGCGATTTGGTCTGTACACTATCTATCCTTACGGAATCCTGCCTGTTGGTCACGAAGTTGGGCGTCTACGCAGTCCTTCATTCTGTTTAACAATACCCTGTTGAAGACTTTTCCCGGTATTGAGAGAAGAGTGATGCCCCTGTAGTTATCACGGTTGCTGACATCACCTTTCTTTGGTATCTTGATCAGGTGTCCTTTCGAGTCTGTTGGTACTTGTTCTTCATCCCAAATCTTTCTGATGAGAATGCGGTGTATCTTTGCAGTTACTTCTACGTCTGATTTCAATGCCTCTGCTGGAATGTTGTCTGTTCCTGCTGCTTTGCCACTCTTGATTTGTCTGATGTCCATGCTGATTTCTTCAATTGTTGGTGGGCCAACATCGATTGCGAGGTCCGTGGGTGCTGCTTCGATGCTGGGTGGGTTCAGTGGGACTGGTCGATTCAAGAGTTTTTTTAAAGTGTTCTACCCACCTGTTCTGTTGCTTTTCAGTTTCGTAAACAACAGTAATGCAACGAGAAGGCAGTGAATAAGATTTCCCTGACAGCAGCTGTATAACAGATATATCGCCACATGATATTATAGGAGTATTACATTTGTAACAGTTATTGTATAATGCTTCAGATACTGATCCTATGTTATACATTTCTGTTATCTTTTGTAAAATTACTCATTTGCTATGACTAAAGATTTCGAATACTAATTACCAGTCGATCTGTTGATCTATTTTACGAACTGATACACTGGCCAACTGTTATAACTTGTGGCCTGTGTACCCTGTTAATGTATAACTTATTGATACCTCCAATTAGAGAACAGTGAATTATCGATCAGACCAATGACTCAAAAGAGTCTTTATCGGTCCTGCTTCCCACCTAGCCCTGCCAGTTAAGTCCAGAACATCAATCTCAGCCTCTGCAATATCAATCATTTACTTCAAACATACTAGGTTTATATAAAAACCAGATAGACCACATCATACCATAAAATAAGAAACAATATTTGTACAAGATTTAGCCAAATGTGGCTGCGAGTGTGGGAGGTAGTAATTAATAGACAGGGCATAATTCAAGAATGGTAAATCGTAGAATAATAGTTCATAGGTCAAAATAAAGCTCATAATAAGAGGGACATGAATATGAATAGTTTAGTTATTTAACAAATATACGATAAAAATATACGCATAGTATTGGTCCATAAATGGATCCCAAAAGTTACCATTCATTATTCTTATCCGGACATAGCGAATATCAATCATGGTCTTAACACTTATTGGCCTTAGAGCCCCTTCCAATCCGGCAGCTAGTCAGGAGACGACAGTAGAAAGCCGATTGGTTTTCTGTTGTGCCCAATCCAATCATGACTGAAAACTCATACAATAATATACCGACAATCCCTGACAACATACGGCACCAAATAAATAATCACATTTTATAGCACAATCATACCATGTGGTAGAGGGTAAAGCAGGCAGTTCGTAATTAATTAGCAATAATTAGGGAACACTGAAACTTATAACAACAGTCAATAGGTCCACTGAAAGCTTACGATAAGGGGACGTAGAAATGCAACAGTTAAGTTATCAATTATATGTTAAAAACAACTGAGAATTTCAACTATCCCATTATTCGTCCTGTCATAACAGTTACCTCATTTCTCAGTTTACACTACTCATATAAGCTTTAAATGAGTATAAGTATATCATAGTAGTTCAAATGTTTGTTTTCCAACCATTAAACCATGGACTTAGACCTATTGTTTCAATCCAATCTCTCACCAAACCCATGGACCTTTTCTGATAACTGATTTTTATTAATTATTCCTTGTTTTATTTTTTAGATATTTTTAATGAACAAGACTATTCCAGCTTAAAATAAATTTTTTTCTCATTTATCCCTCTAGCTAGTGGACGCTTGTATCACAAATGATGGTGATGCTTTTCTGTATGGTGCTGAGACAGTTTATCGTCATTTCTCTATGGATAGTCGGGTATGTCATGAAAATCATGTGTATTTCATACAACTTTTATTGCTTTTTGACGGTTAGTTTATTCAATAGTCATTTTTCGTTTCTCCTTTAATCTTATTTGTACATGAATGAACCAAGACCTTTTATGAAGTTATTTCAGTGTTAGATTTTAGTTGGCTGTGGATAATCAATAAGGGGCTCTAAGTCCAAGTTTTTCTCAGGTATTCATCAACAAAGGGCTTTCAAAGCCTCAATGAAACTGATTTAAGTCCTCGTCAATCAGCACTGTAGACGGAGCTACTTAAGTCACAACTGAACATTTGAAGAACTGGTTTATTTTGCTTTGAATGACAACCATTCTTACCCTATTTAGCCTTCAGTTCTGTATTCAGTCGACCACTCTTACAATGGGATTGCTGAATAAAGTCAGTCTTGGCTGAAGTAACTCAGTAACACTGTCTCTAATCATTACGTTGAGTGATGCAGTAGCTATTGTTATGACTACTTATAGCCTACCTTCAACTACTGAGCATCAAATACAAACTACATGAAATTGGAGTTCTTTAAATTAGTGACCACGTTGCCACTTTCCTATCAATTGAATTCGATCAATGCTAAGAAGTTCAGAGTAAGATACTAGTTGCTTACCAGTGATCGATTAATGTGAATATTATACCAAAACTTACTTTTTATCATCGAATTTGTATTCTTTAATAAAGTTTAAATTTTTATTGTCGTTAAGTATGTTCTTATCTCATACTCTCGACGATAATGATTTTTCACCATACTTATTAGTCTGTTCAGAAAGTTAGAGTATTTTCTTCCCTCTGTTTTTCTGTTTCATTTTTGTTCTAGAGCTATTGAGTCTACTAATTATTCTTGAATTCTCCAGTTTAAAGTGACATTTCTTAAAAATGAGTGACTTTGATACGATGAGCTATAAATTTATTTTTAACAAAAGTTCGACCATGCTTTGTGTACTGAAATTAGAACGGTCAGTTTTAGTAATAGCCCAATAAACCAACCCTTAAGTAGTTACTAAAATCTCAGTTTTATTTTATGAATATTATTCTAGATGTTATCACGAATTCATTTCTCTTTTTCAGGACTCCAGTGTTTGTGTTTTTCACATGCATCGTATACGCGACGTACTGAATTTGACCAAATGTGATTTAGTTCTACTTGGCATTTTGTTGGGTTGTGATTATTGGGCAAATGGTGTCTCTCGTTTAGGTCCGGTTGGAGCTTTACGTTTGATTGCATCCTTGAAATCTCCAAATTTGCATGTAGATGAGCATTTCCTCATTAAATTTTTGACTTGGTTAACAAGTACTTGTCCACAAAATTGCGAAGATTTCAATCTCAATCCATTTGATCTTCGTGTATGTCCAAGTGATATAAAAATGTGGCTGCGTGTTGGCGTAGAATTAAAGAATTGTCCATACGAAGAAGTAAGTTATTGAAAAAAAGGAATCTGACTAATTATGTCATTGTTTATTAGGCCGTGATGGCATTAGTTGTTAGTCTGAGTCACATTAAAATGCACAGACTTCTTGGTTGAAGTTGTTAAAATAATCTTAATCTATGGTAGAAAACCTCTTGTTCTTACTTTGGGGTAGTCAGTGACTTGTCATACGTCGAACAAGTCTTCAGCAGTTCATTCGATAAAGATTCACAACCTGATAAATACAGTCCGTCCCAACAACAAATAAATAATCGAAGCCTCAAATGGGTTCTGACAAAATTAGGTTCCCATTATGTTTGTATTTACTGTTTCGGACTGTCATATCCCGATAAAAATAATGAATGGTAACTTTTGGGATCCATTTATGGACCAATACTATGCGTATATTTTTATCGTATATTTGTTAAATAACTAAACTATTCATATTCATGTCCCTCTTATTATGAGCTTTATTTTGACCTATGAACTATTATTCTACGATTTACCATTCTTGAATTATGCCCTGTCTATTAATTACTACCTCCCACACTCGCAGCCACATTTGGCTAAATCTTGTACAAATATTGTTTCTTATTTTATGGTATGATGTGGTCTATCTGGTTTTTATATAAACCTAGTATGTTTGAAGTAAATGATTGATATTGCAGAGGCTGAGATTGATGTTCTGGACTTAACTGGCAGGGCTAGGTGGGAAGCAGGACCGATAAAGACTCTTTTGAGTCATTGGTCTGATCGATAATTCACTGTTCTCTAATTGGAGGTATCATTAAGTTATACATTAACAGGGTACACAGGTCACTAGCTATAACAGACTAAAAAATTCATGTTCCTAAGGTGAACTGTATTAAATAGCTAAGTCAGTTGAACGTAATGTAGAACCCGACATGTCGGTTCAAGTTCCCGTACCCCATTAGTATATGGAAATGAAATTGTTAGGGCGAATCCCAGAATCCCAGAGGTAGTAACAGTATTAGTGGTAGTAGAAGCGACCAGGAATAGAAGTTACGATTGAAGAAAATATGAATTTGTGAAATAAAAGGGTTTTCGTAAAGAATTTAGAAACGTAGAGTCTAAGGCGTGACGAAAAGTGTATGCACCTTCATCGTTTGTAACGATTTTGAGCCATTTCATATAAAGTCTCTATTTAGAAGTTTTAATGATCATGCGGACTCTAACCAGGTAGTCCTCACCTGCCCAGACTGCTAAGTAATTGTGGATGTTTTTCGTTTTTGTCTTCTAGAAACTAAGTTTTTGTCATTATTTGTGTTCAAAGTTCAAATACAACCAATCCCATAAACACCAAGCCAGTTAATGAGAGTTATTTATTCGTGTTAGTTGACCACTTGAACTACCGATTTACTGGATGGACTAACTCAAAATATGCTTGTACGTAATTCTTTTTTTCTCTATTCATTCCGTCATCATTAAATTCTTAAAACTAAATTTCAGCTTCGAATATACACTCATGTATCTTGTTTTCGTTCTTTGTTTTATTTATGATTAGACCAAGCAATATAGAATAAAGCCGCTCCACGTTTAACTATTCGAAATACATATTACATCCATCTGTTTAATCATTTGTTAAAGTATGGATATTGAAATTAATGAACATCGTTAAAAACTATAAAGCTAAATATAACGACTCACTTATCATAGAGTAATTTGAAGTGTGAAATAGCGAATTGATGGGAGTGAAATGTCGTCTTTTTAAAACGACAATGACAGTCTTTACCACTGTTTTTATGCGTTTTTTGTTTTATCCAATTACCGAGTCAACAAATGTGGACACACTGACGACAGAAATCCGTTTGCCTGTTTGATATCTATTGTTAGATACCAGATATTTAAATCACGATGAATGAAAACCCAATATATATTTTCTAACTAACAGGGTGACATTTCATCCACGCATGTATTTTTTAGAAATGTTTAAATTCATGTGCTGTCTGAGCAATATACGGTGATATGTTTACTCTGAGTGTCTTTGTTTTATCCATCAGTGAATTCCAAGAATACATCCACTAATTGAAACAGTTCAAATTTGATACATGAACGTATGTAATACGTGATCCTCGAAAATCCTATAATGTTAACCAAATATGTTATTGAATACCCAGTTTTATTTATTTATTTTTGTTCTAGATATTTGCAGAATTCCTAACTAGTTTTGAAAATCGTAATTGGACCTTACCCAAACAGGAATCTGTTTCTCAGTGGAAACGACCAGATCCAAGAAAAGCTGTATCTTTTTGTCAAATTCATTTAAATTGGGATCCAGCCTATACTCTTCAACATTTTTTACCGGTTATGGCATTATGGGATTTAAGACATCCTCAAATTTATAATTCGCCTTCATATATCAAGTCGTTGATTGCTTATCAAATTGATGATTCTGTTATTTTGAAACCTTTAAGGTATATTTAAACGGTTTAATCAACTATTCATTTATACTTAATTTATTGTTGGTTTTCGGTTACGTGTAGAGTTTGGATATATGATACTGAAGCTCTTGAAAGTTAATCTTCATAGAACCACAGTGTTCAATTTTTCAACTCAGTAGTCACATTCAAACTTCAATCTAGTTATCGTTGGGAATAGATAGTTTGGGATTAATTGCTTTTATTGACCAACAACTGGTTAACTGCGAATCGACACCAAATCTCTTAAATAGAATAAAGAGTACCTATCAGTTAAATATATACACACACCATGGTTAAATAACGTCATAAGATTTTGGTAGCTTCTTGTAACATTCAGTCGTCTGTTACCATATGCTGATATTTACTTGGATAAAATTTGTTTAAATTACTAATTGAAATCCAGGGTGAGTAAACCTGGAACATATAGTTAACGTTAAACACAAATAAGAGACAAAATTATCAAGATTGCCCTCTGGGATGAACATTAAATACATGATTCTTTAACAAGGAACTAGCCTCTAGTTAAACAATAAATCGACTAAGAAAACATTTGCAATAAAATTAGCGTTACTTATGGGCAATATATCTAGTTAATATTCCATAAATGTCATAGTAACCGTTTTACTCTTGACTAATTTTATTAGATTGATGCACCATTAAAATTGTAATTGGATCTGCAGATCATAAGATCACTTCATTGTTTCGTGTTCGAAAGTATTTTAACCGTGTTATTTAAAATATTTATCTCGTGAAATACTACTGAGTGAAGCTGATTAATTTTACCCGCTCTTCGATCTTCAAGCGCCACATAATTTTAAATTACTGGGGAGCTTTCGATCACTTATCTTGTATGTTTCCTCAGTACTTCAGTACGATTTCAGAAAGCTCGCCTGAGATTTACTAATGTGTTACCCGTTGCGACGTCTGACAACAAAGCTAGAAGTACGCTGGATATCATTTCGCTGTGTTTCATTTTTTGACTACGAAACGTGTTACTTAAATGTAGAATCGGTTGACGAGGTTGTGGGTATTCGTCGGCTGAAGTAACGAGGAGATTCGTTATCTGAACCCAAACACCAACTCCCTCGACGAATAATATTGGTTGGTATAATAATAGATTAGACGAGAAATAAAGATACCCGAACTAAGTCTTATCATCAGTCTACAAAGATAACTGACTATCGGACTGAGCCATATCGGTAGATTCAAACTGTTTGTAATCTGCGGGATAATTGAAATCAGTGGTTGGAGATGTTGAGTAACGTATCTCCAAATCGGTCTTAGTAAGCCATTTAGATCCACTTATCTTCTTGATCGTAAGTTTCAGAATTCCTCCATACATACCTTTCCATTACTTTTGTAACCATATTCAATACTTGACGTTGTTTACCATCATTGCTACTAAGATTATATTGACTCCATTGGTATTCATCTTGTTATTTTCCTATTTTGTTGTGATGTCAGATGCGGTCATTTGAATCAATAAACGTTCATGATAGGGACCTATGTTGACTCTGGTTGAATACATAAAAGCTTTACTCCCCGATAAATATTTCAAAATATATTTAAGCTGCAAGTTAACAACTCAAGTATTGTTCACTTTCTTAACAAATCTGGTCACATTTTAAATAAGAGACCGTTGATCAGTTTTACTGATTGATTGACTTGAATCTCTAATAATGTATCTCACTAACCACCTATACTTAGTTTTTAATTTAATTAGGCTTGTACATTATTTCTCTGGTATTTTAACCTAAGTATATTTTTTCCTTATAGGATAGTAAAGAAACGCATAGTTAATTATGTAGACTCTTACGAAGTCGAGTGGGAAAGATTGGGTAAGTTGCAATTTGTGAACTTATTTTAGTGGATGTTCAGTGTACTTTTATCTTTTATCTATAGATGGATGTCAGTGACATGTTACTTTATTATCTGCGTATAATTTTCAAACTAACTTAGTTTAATCAGAAGGGGTTTGTGGAGATTTTAGAAAATTTCACAGATTGAAATCATGGGTCAGTTAAAGCTAGACCACTATTGAAAACCTGGAAGCACTGGACGGCCGTTTCGTCCTAGTATGGAACTCCACAGCAGTGCGCATCTAGCTTCAACTAATTCATGATTTCAATCTGTGAAAATTTCTAAAATCTCAACAAACCCCTTCTGATAATAATCACCTGCTCACTAGTGACTGACTTCAAGAGATACTCCTGGAGTTCTAGTGGGAAACCGTTACCAGTGGAGTTCAACCAGGTCTATTGTGAGATATCAGCTCACTCAAGACAATGGTATATGGTGGCGTAACTTCGTGGATTGGTTGAAGTTAGACATTAACACCGTTGGATGCCGGCTCAGTGGTCTGATAATTAATTGCTCGCGCGCGAAGCCAGTAGGTCCTGGGTTCGAATCCTGCGGGGTGCAGGGTCGTGGATGCGCACTGCTGAGGAGTTCCGTACTAGGACGAAATGGCCGTCCAGTGCTTCCAGGTTTTCAATAGTGGTCTAGCTTCAACTGACTCATCATTTCAATCTGTGATAACTTAGTTTAACTCATTTCTACTGAATAATGTACAAGTAATCTGGATAAAATAGAAATTCTAAGATTACAAATAAATAGAAAAACAGATCATCTAAAACACCTGCAAACAATGACTAGTTAAAAATCAGCTTGATTGAATCATTTTCTTACTGAATGTTTGAGGTTATTTTGTTGTTGACCGGTCTGCCTAAAACAATAAAAATCCTGTTCCATTGTTTAGTTTTTTTTCTAATATTCACAAAGGTAAAAGTTTGGTACTCGTTTCATTTTACTCTCTAGTACTCAAACACTCCACATGTAATCGTCTTCAGTACAAATAGCTTACTGACTGACTGAACGAATGTTGAGAACTCACATAATAGTGAAATAATTCCAATGACTTTTAATCATAAATAACCAATACAAAATAGATGCTTCGTTTTTCATTTTAAAAGATACCTGAACATGATAAGTGTTAATTCTATCGAAGCGTCCAAGTAACCCCGATTGAGATACGCGCAAAATCGAAGTCCCAAAACAACGATTTGTCTACAAAAGCGGTTCTTTATTAAATAAAACTCAAAATTTAGTTACAAACCTCAACTTGTGAGGTGTCTAGGCGTTTAAACGCGTCCTTCAAGAATGAAAATAGCAAAGGCTTCCTGTAAGAGTAACATAAAGAACGATTACAACATACGATAGTCCAAAGACAGCCGATAGCTGTGCCCAAATGCCCTGGTACGGCCGAGAGTGGGGAGAGTCCGCTCTCCCTCTCGAAATACTCTCACACGGCCACGCGTATATAGCCTCTGCCAGGGAAGTCCTACTCACTGCCTTCTCGTGGCGGGGGTGTTGTTTACGAAAATGAGAGGACGAAAAGCGAATGTCCGCCGCTTTAACCGGATTCCAAACCAATGGTGCACATGGGCTCCAGTATCCTGCGGGAACAAATGGCGAATGAACCAATTGTTGGTCACCGGCTTCTATGGGACTGCATCTCCTTACGATGCTCCACTGCCTTGTGGATCAGACATTCAGGTCGAAGGCTCGGGGTGTGGCCCCCTAAGAAAACCACCTGCTTCGGTTTGGGCACTCGGGCAGTATCACAGCCCTCACACATATCGAATGAGAGTTGTGTGGCGCATATGTATTTGGTGCCTCTTTGTACAAATATCTATGTGTTGAAATAAATAAACAGTTTATGAACAACCGAAACTCGAACCAAGAGCAAACAATATGGAAACTGTTGCATTCAAACAAATGCACAAAGATGTGGATAATCGTTACAGTAATTAAATCACAGTGATTATAATGATAAATACAATTATAAGTAAAATAAACGTTAAAGATATAGGTGAACATGCCAGAATGTTACAGTACAACTTGAGTTACAACATAATTGTGAAAATTGTTGGGCCTACAGCTGCCTACTGAATATAAATAAGTAGTATAAAACAACATACGAAGAGTAGAAAAGGAACATGTAGGAACAATCCAAGACAAACTTAACACCGCCCCCCAAAGACAGCATGCCTTTCCTTACTTTCGCTGATTAGGTATTAACGTAAAACGTTCAGAGGTGACAATGGTACAATTTATTCTAGCCACAGTCACTCTGAAAGGTCTCTCTATCCTCTACTTTTCAGTCGTCCACCGCTTCTAATAAACAAATTTTACGTATGACTTTAATAATTGTACTTTTCCACGTTCTGATCTTCGTTTGTCTCCATAGACCATTTCCTCCTGGGTCAAAATTTACCACGAGGCCTTTAGGCCAGTTATTTCGTGTATAAGTGTCTTCAATAACCAAGACTCGGTCGCGAACTTGTAAATCTCATCTTCTTTGTGTCCATTTTGTTCGCGTGTGTAATAATGGTCTATCATTATAAATTCTTTCTACTTCAGTCAAACAGGTGGTGAGTGTCTCGTAGGATATAGATAATGCACTCAAACGTCTACATATGCTTCCTGCTAATCTTCCCCATACTCGTTGATGACTTGCATAGGGAGTGCTGTGGTGCCATTTTATGTTCCGATGAGTTATTTCTTGAGCTACTCTACTGTCCTTAAAGTCTGGTAATAGATGTTTTATCTCTTTCTCTAACCCACCTAAAGGGGACACAGATGTATTTGTCTTAAACTCCTTATCGTTATCAGCAGACTGAATAAAACAATCATCTTTCTGACTCTCTGTTTCACACTTGATGTCAATAGAACTCTCAGCAGACGCCAATACAGGAGATACAAGTTTCGTATTTGCAGAAAACTGAGTTGTTGTTGCTTTGACACTTATTGATGACTCGTGTAGTAGTATCACAGACTTAGCATTATCGTTTACGTCAGAAACACCAGGGAGATCTGTTTCGGCAGAGCACATAACAGATGTTTTCGATGACATTAACTTGCCACTATCTGTTGGAATTTTGTATGGAGGAGAGATACATGTAAGGTAAATATTCACTACTGTATCGACATGAAGATCGTTGGCAGTTTTTAGAAGGTACTCATCGTCAACAGCTGGTAATGAAATAACTTGTTCTAAATCCGTTAGATTCTCGTCTGTCGTTTTAGATACATAATCAAAGGTGTCTATAAGTCGGTTACTTCTTGAATCAGTTGGAATATTAAATCCAAAAGAACGAACTGACGGTGAATCTTAATGAACCCTGGAAACGTCAGTCTCAACAGTAGGTGCTGCTACTATGAGTGAGCGTACATCATCATCATCGACTAAGGGTGCCACATCCGGAGAGTGTTTAAGGCATAAACTAGGATCATCTATGAACGGCAACAAACGATTTGAAGAATTTTCAGGCAATACTGTGGTCAAAGGGAGAGGCGGCGTGCGTCCGTCCTCGATAGAACTCTTTGCTCCTAAACAGTTTATAAAGGCTGAGGTTTTACTGACTTTACCCGCTGGACCAAATAAAGCACACTCAAACATGGTTAGTGAAGCGTAAGGTTGTTGGGGCCTTCCGATACGTTGATCGAGAACCCAGTGGGCTTCTGGAACGTCAATTCCAATTAACAATCCTACTCTGTCGCATGTAATAGTAAGTAGCCGTACACCTTTCAAATGTTTCCATCTTTTCTGAAAGTCGGTCGGTGGCATTTCTGCTTTTTTAACAGGTAGGTTATCTATAGTATATGCACCTTCGACTTTTATTCGGCTAGTCTCATCTAAAGACTCAATTTCGAAATTGGTAAGTTCAGCGTTCTGAGATGACGCTCCAATTACACAAGATATGTTTAATCTTGTCACTGTACCAGAAATTCCTACCTGTTTTGCCACGTCACTAAGCAGTAGTGTCGTGTCTGATCCGTTATCTAATAATGCATATGTATCCACGTGTCCTGTGGGGCCATGTAACCTGACTGGTACAAAGCCTAAATACGTTCCAGTAGTATAAGTAGAGTTACAGCATGCTTGTTTAGCGTCAGGTTCTGTGTTGTGAAGAATTCTATGATGGCGTCGCTTGCATCCATCGATTTCACACAACACGGGTTGTCGGCATTCTGTTGCTCGATGATTGGGTTTTAAACAGTTAAAGCAAAGTTTAAACCTTTTCAGTAATTCTAACTTTTCGTTGTGACTTACTGCCAGCAGCTGTGGGCAAGATACGACTTCGTGGGCATCCGAGCAAATTACGCAATGGACTGTTCCTTTACTCGACGAAGTGTGGATCTTAGCTCTTATGGAAGCCGACCGGTTGTTCTATGTCGTTTGAGCTTTATAGCTTCCGCTTGCTAACTGTCCGTATGTGTTTGTGGCGATTGACACTTTCTTTTCTAATAATTGCGATAAATCATCAAAATTGGGCTCTAGCCCCTTTCTTAAAATATCGTCTGCGGCCTCCGCCCATTTAAACTGCATACTACGTGGTAGTTGTTTCACTATTCGTTTTATATTGGTTGAACAATCCAGATCGGCATTTCTGCCCATCTGTGACAAGGCTATCTTGCAGTTGGTCATGAGTCTCGTCAGTTTCTGTAGGCCCGTTATGTCGTCTTGATTCAACGGTGATCCACTTAACAGTTCTGTTAAGAAGGCTTCCACGATGTCATGTGGCCTGCCGAACTGTTCATGTAGAATTTTAATTGCCTCAGTATAACCTTCCTTTTCTGGTAATAAAACACAGTGTTCTATAGCATCCTTTGCTATACCTTCGCAATAGTGTATCAAGTACATTAATTTCTGAGTGTCATCATTTACTCTGTCAGCTATGTTAACCTTGAATCCCTTCATGAACGTCCAAAATTTCAGAGGACTCCCGTCAAATTTCATGATTTCTATCTTCGGTAAGCTTACTGACATAAATAG